TCTTGGAAAGATGGGGAAGGACATTCTGGAGTATTTCAACCTTATATTCTTCCTGGCTTGCCTGTTAAATTATGAGGAAGAGATATTATGTCCAATATGGGGGTATTTTTATATAGCCCTAACCCCACTGTTTCTCATCAGTTATTATCACAAGGACTATATCCTAATAAAGGCCTGGGGAGACATAATCAAGGAATTACCCAGCCATTACAAATTAAAGGAAAAAGAGATAGGACAGGTTTAGGATATTTTTAATGGGGGCCCTTGACTGTCCTGCGACTCATGCAGACCCTATTGTATTTAAATCTGATCAACCTGTATGGGTCGATCCATGGCCCCTCTCTCAAGAAAAAATTGCCACTGCAAAACAATTGGACAGCGGGCATATTGCTCCTTCTAATTCACCTTGGAATTCACCTATATTTATTATTAAGAAAAAGTCTGGAAAATGGAGATTGTTACAAGATTTGCATAAAGTAAATGAGACTTTAGAGTTGATGGGTGCTCTACAACCTGGCCTGCTTACTCCTATGGCCATACCTGATGGAACATATAAAATTATTATTGATTTAAAAGACTGTTTTTATACTATTCCTTTATATCCTGATGATTGTAAAAGATTTGCATTCAGTGTTCCTTCTACGAACTTTAAAGAGCCTATGTAACGATATCATTGGCTGGTTTTACCTCAAGGTATGTCTAGTAGCCCCACCTTATGTCAAAAATTTGTTGCTAAAGCCTTACAACCCATTCGTTTGAGATATCCAGATGTTTATCTAATCCACTATATGGATGATATTTTAATTGCACATTCTCAGGAGGGCTATTTATTAACTGTATATGATCAAATGCTAATAGCCTTAAATTCTTTCGGCCTTCAAATTGCAGAAGAAAAAGTTCAACGATTTTGTCCGTATGCTTCTTTGGGGTTTCGACTTCATAAATTTACTTTTCAAACCCAAAAGATTCAGTTACGTACTGATTCTTTATTAACTTTAAATGATTTTCAAAAATTTCTTGGTGATATCAATTGGATTCGCCCTTATTTAAAGCTTTCTACAGGAACTTTAAAGCCTTTATTTGACATCCTTAAAGGAAACACTAATCCTCGTTCTCCTAGAAAATTCACTGC